TCTCTCTGCATCTTTCTCTCTGCAACCAACCATCATCAATCACCCCCCAAATTCCATGCTTCCCCAATCACTCTCAATTCTGCTTTCGCAAATCTAGCCTCTCGCTTCTCGCCTCTCGCCTCTCGCCTCCAATTGTTGATTGTTCTCCAACTTGTAACTACCTATAGGTACCTACCTACCTACCTACCTAATCTTGTCCCTTCCTTACTCTACCCATTTCTTCCCTTTCTCTTCTTAAAATTATAACAAGAATAATAAACTTCACTCAATTGAAATATCACGACACAACACGGGGGAATCGTGAAGCTTGCATATGCATTCATCAGGAGCGCCTCCACACAACTAATAAACTGACTGATTGACTAACCTGACTGACTGACTGCTACCCAGCCTTAACCTTGGAATCTTATTATTCATTATTGATTATTATTATTATTCTTGATTATTATTCTTATTCTTATTCTTATTCTTATTATCATGTATGATTGTTGTTCCTTTTCCATTCACCACTGCCATATCTTGTCATAACACAAAACAATCAATACCTACCAAGACCTACCTACCTAGGTACAACTCAACCTTGATTTTGTCTACTACTCTACCTCTACCACTACCACTACCACCACCACCACCACAACATCTGGATTCTGTTTCCAAAGAGAATGGATCAACATCAATCAGTCTATTAATCAGAAAGAAATAAAATCCGGCCAAAGATTTCAAAATCAAGGGAATATTCAATATCTAATTTAAGGTGACGTTGCCTATCCAGTAGGAAGTAATATTTACTAGGGTCCCGCGTTGGTCTCTGCAGCTGGCTGGCTCCCTGTTCTTTCGGTTGCTTAATTCCTCCATGGCGACAACAACTTCCGTCTCGCCCGCTACTCTGGAGCGAAACTCTCCACGACGAGGGTATAACAATTCAATCCCCCATCGCTCCCAATCTACACGAGTGAAAAGTACCACCACCGATTCACCACAGCGATCACATTCACATTCACATTCACATTCACATTCACATTCACATCACCATCGTCCATCATCATCATCACGACATGCGGCTATAGAACAGTCAGTACCCCAGGCGAATTATGAGAGTGCAAACGTCGCGCAACAATCAAGAAAAACATCAAGCAGAGACGGTTCGGCTCCTTCACGACACGAATCTACGAGAAGCGCAACGAGTAATCATCGATCAACTCATCACAGTCGACATTCAAACGATATGGCCACGGCGGCAGCAAACGGCGGAGGCCCAGCCCCCGTCGTGACACCACAAGAATCCAGACATGCCGCACACAAGGGAAAATCGAGAACGACGATACCAGCACAATCCGGAAATTGGATTTTGGGCAAGACAATTGGTCAAGGTAGTATGGGTAAAGTCAAGCTGGCAAGGAGGGCGGAAGGAGGTGAGCAGGTAATTATCCTTCATTCTGCGGTGCAGATTTCACTCATCTCTAATAACTGTCTATAGGTTGCCGTCAAAATTGTTCCACGAGGATCCACAGAGGAGAACCACAACCAAAGTCGAGCCGATAGAGAAAGAGCCGATCATTCGAAAGAAGTTCGCACCGCCCGTGAAGCGGCTATCGTTACACTTTTGGATCACCCATATATCTGCGGCATGAGGGATGTGGTGCGTACGACTTATCATTGGTATATGCTATTTGAATATGTGAATGGAGGACAGATGCTTGACTATATCATCTCGCATGGAAGATTAAAGGAGAAGCAAGCTCGAAAATTCAGCAGGCAAATCGCCAGCGCCTTGGACTATTGTCATCGAAATAGCATTGTCCACAGAGATCTGAAGATTGAAAACATTCTCATTAGCAAGACGGGAGACATCAAAATTATTGATTTCGGCTTGAGTAATTTGTTCGCACCACGAAACCATCTCAAGACCTTCTGTGGCAGTCTTTATTTCGCGGCTCCGGAGTTATTGCAGGCAAAGGCATACACTGGACCCGAGGTTGATGTTTGGAGTTTTGGTATCGTACTTTACGTGTTGGTCTGCGGCAAGGTTCCTTTTGACGACCAAAGTATGCCGGCACTGCATGCAAAGATCAAGAGAGGAATTGTAGATTATCCAAATTGGCTGACTCCTGGTAAGTTCTTTTCCTCTTCCGAATCCACATGGTACTAACAGGAGGCAGAATGTAAACATCTTATATCAAGGATGCTGGTTACTGATCCAAAGCAACGTGCAACACTACAGGAAATCATGAGCCACCAGTGGATGATTAAACAATACGGTGGTCCACCCGAAAATTATCTGCCAGTTCGAGATCCCTTAACACTTCCTTTGGATGACGATATCATCAACAGTATGACCGGCTTTGACTTTGGCCCACCAGAACTCATTAAACAACAATTGACTGATGTCATCAAGTCTCCCGAATACGGTCATGCCGTGCGTCTAGCAATGCAGGAACGAGAAAATTCTGGTCCTCCTCGCGACTCGGAGAGAAAGAGAGGTGTATTCGATTTTTATAAAAGAAGAAATTCTACTACGAGCCGAGATACCTTGACTGCACCGAGTTCAGAGCTCCTTCAACTCGGCAACGACCCGGTGAATGCCTACCACCCTCTCATTTCTGTGTACTACCTCGTCAAAGAGAAACGCGAGCGTGATGCACTCGAATCTAACCCAGGCGCAACTTCGATGCCACGGATGCCAGGTGAAGCTCCACTACAAATGGGAGAGATTTCGGCCCCCAAGCCAGCTTATACGAATGCAACGGCATATGAGATGCCTGGTGAGAAAGCTACCGGAGGTCGATCGCGCCCACGTGCCCGCACACATGGCGAGGATGAAGTGACAGAAGGGATGAAGAATGTCAAAATTGGTGGTTCTACTGCCCCTCCATCACCAGCAATCGTGGAACCTGTCGAGCAATCCGCCAGGAAAGAAAGTACTGCTGCTGGCATCTTGAGAAGGTTCAGTACACGGCGACGCAAGGAACCTCCGCCATCCGAAAAGACCGGCAATCATCTCACAGTCGGGTCTTCAAATGAGCCATCAACACTTAGAAAGAGTTTTAGCGTGCGCCGGCACCGAGATCGGGATGGAGATGGACATCTTCGCCCAAGTGGAAGTGAGCGCCAACACAGTGATCTTCTCACTCCACGATCCGCTGAGAATTCTGGAAGCTCTAAATTAGGTCGATCGACGAGCGTTAATTCCGCAGAATATAGACGACGAGAAAATCGACGAGGAGCCGGGCCAGGAGCAGCGGTTGCTGCTTCGGAAGCAATGCCACCACGAGTTACTTACAAAGATCCACCTCCAACCAGTGGCTCCGATCATTCAACGATGAATGAAAAACCACCTCGCGAAAGCGAAAGAGCCGGCCTCAATCCAAGAGCTGCGACTATGAGAGCCAAATCGCTGGGTCACGCGAGAAGAGAAAGCATACAAGCTCGACGAGCTCGAAGGGAAGAAGCCAGAGAAGCAAATGTCCCTGAGGAGACAGATGTTGAAATGGGCGACAATAGTGGTCCATCGACCGAACGAGTCGACAATGCAGAGAATGTCAAACCCGTATTTCTCAAAGGTTTGTTTAGCGTATCTACCACATCAACCAAACCGGTTCAAGCCATTCGCATGGATATTATTAGGGTACTGAGGCTCCTTGGGGTGGAATATACAGAAATACGAGGCGGCTTCAGTTGTCGACACATCCCTAGTATTGATTTAAGGAAGGTTGTCGATGTACCTCCTAGCAGTCATGGAAATCACACTCCTGGGCATCGAAGAAAGATCAGTTTTGGAGGTTTCATGGGAGGTGGTAATAATGCAGAAAGAGATCGTGAGGATTTCCGCGAAGCGGAGAGATCACCACCAAACCCCAGAACTCCACGTAGAACCCGTGGTCCCGAAAATAGCTACTCCAACTCGGATGCTTCAGATGAGAGTGTTGCTAGACATGGCGATTCATCAGCTAGGGCTGTAGGCGAAACTAGCACACATGTCCAAAGTGACCTCGGTGGTAGCATGATTCTTGAATTCGAGATCTTCATCGTCAAAGTTCCTCTTCTCTCCTTGCACGGCATCCAATTTAAGAAGCTTCGTTCAGGGGGAACTTGGCAATTTAAGAATATGGCAGATCAAATCCTTCGCGAGCTCCGACTATAATAATTCTCACGATGAACCTAAACACGAATACGCTAGTTCTATGAAAACTCCTATTTGAGTTGTAATGCAGAACTTCCAATTAGCTATTCTTTTGTTATTTCACTTGAACAAGACATGTGGGCGACTGAGCGATTGGAAGAAAGACATACACGCATTACTCTTGAAATGAATTCCTTTTGTTAGCGAAATTGATGAGAAGATGGCATGCATCGTCACATACTTTTGGGGCCATTTTGGTTTTCTAATGCGCCCACAATTTTCATTTGTTAGTTCCAATGCCCGACAAATGTTTGTGTCGATTCTCCTTGCGGGACCAATTTGTGGTTCATATATGTAGTAATTATGGGATGAGAGTTCCTTCTTCTAGGGGGAATAAGGGACGACATTTGAAATTTGGCATTTCCTTAATATTGCGGGGAAGGAATCTTGGTTTGGGATATTTTTATTGTGAAGGGGGGGAGATGGCAAGGGGGTAAAATCAGTTGGTTGGCTAGGACGGATGTGTATTTGGGGATTGTGCATGCAGTTAGTTGATTGTGGGAAGGACTGAGGGAAGGAGTGAAGGTGAGGATGGAGCCATAGGGCAGGGACAAGGATAGATAATTCCGATACTGTACTTCTCAATTTGATGAACTCGTAGCAAACTCACTGACTTTGCTTTCCATGGTTGAGGTTTCCTCTTGGGTTTTGGTTTTTTGGTTTTTTGACTCCTTTTCCCTATTGTTTTCCTTCTATCTTTCCTACCTATTGTAGTATGTATATTCGAACGTTCGACGATCCATCTACCTGTATTCCCACCGCCACCAAATTATCATCCGCACATCAACCCACGTCTGACGTATCGCAAAAAAAAAAAACTATGGATACACCTCGTCGTGAATTAGGTGCAGGGATAAGATCACCAGTACCACGAACCCCGAAACGGTCGGGGTCGTCTGAAAGTACTTGGTCTGTTGGCGAGACCTCGAGTGAGGAGAGTAATTCAACTGGGAAGACGAAATTTTGGAGAACTCCCAGGGAAGAATCAAAGCAAAATGGAGGAAGATTGAATAGATGGAAGATGAGGGCGAGTGTTAAAATTGGCATGGGGCTGAGGACGATTGAGAGATGGAGTAGATTGAAATGCTGGGTAGATTGGAATCGTGCAAATAGATGGATGACAAGAGTAAGATTGAAGTTGAAAAAGACAGAGAGGAATTTTAGGTATACCATGCGAGCTTCCCTCTTCCACTCCTTCCCTTCTAGATACGATATAAGTATCCGGTCCATCTGCTAACTACTAATTGAAGTATAAGTACTCGTCGTCTTTATCGTCTCTTCGTGTTGATGGTAGGCTTCTGCTTTATATCAACACTTTTCTTCTATTCCTTTCCTTCGTCTGCTTATACTTCCTCGTCGTTACCCGACGTCCACACACTGGGTTCATACATCCCCGTCCAACCCTTTCTTCTCTCCTCCCCACCCCCCAAATCAAAAGCTCAAATAAAAAAATCCGATCCCATCAAATGGCTTAAAGAAAACTCCCACAACCGCTATGCTCTCACCACTCCTTCGAAATCATGGGTCTCCCAAATATCAGAATGGCGATCTCCCCGTCCCAAAGCCGCGCTCATTTCTCTCGTGCGCAATTCCGAACTCGAAGGAATGTTGCAATCGATGAGACAGCTCGAAGCGAGATGGAATCATAAATATATGTATCCGTGGGTATTTTTCAATGATGAACCTTTTTCGCGGGAATTTATAGATAGTACGAGGGAGGCGACGAAGGCGGAATGTCATTATGAGGTTGTACCGGAGGAGTATTGGACCATGCCGGAGTGGGTGGATGAGAGGAGGTTCATGAATAGTCTTGATTATCTGGGGACGATTGGGGTCGGTAAGGGGTGGATGGTTAGTTATCATCATATGTGTAGATGGAATAGTGGGTTCTTTTTTCGGATGAAGGCTTTGGAGGGGATGGAGTGGTATTGGAGGGTTGAACCTGATGTGAGTTTTTTTGTTTTTTGGGCAAACATATCTCGATCGGTGTGTTTGTTTTTAAACAATCGAAGGGAAGGGAGGAAAGGAGATTAAATCTATTAGAAGAAGATACCCTGAGAAAGAGAGAAACTAACCCTAAGGTTAAAAGGTCCATTTCTTCTGCAACATCAACTACGACATTTTCCGCTTCATGCGCGATAACAATCTCAAATACGGATTCAACATGAATATCCTTGACGACGCACGCTCATTTCCATCTCTCTGGTCTAAAACACGTGCGTTCGCAACCGCAAATCCGGATCTTCTCCATCCGGACGCGGATCTAGATTGGTTATTAGACAAAGGCGAATACAATAATTGTCAATTTTTCTCAAATTTCGAAATTGGGGTCGCTGGATTTCTGGCGTGGAGATCATCATAAGAAGTATTTCGAATACTTGGATAAGACGGGAGGATTCTACTATGAGAGGTGGGGAGATGCGCCGGTGCATACGCTTAGTGTGGGGATGTTTTTGGGAAAGGGTGAGAGTTGGTGGTTTGGGGATGTAGGATATCAGCATGGGATTAATAGGGTGTGTCCCGGCGGGAGAGAAAGAGATTGTGCTTGTGAGGAAACGGGGGTAGATGAGGGGTTTTATAAGTTGGTGCCATTGGAGAGTCCGCAGAGGAAACCAAGGGATACGTGTATTAGAGGGTGGCTAGGGGGAGAGTGGGTGAGGAAAAGGGAGGGGTGGGAGAGGGAATTGGAGGTGGCCATGGGGGGTGATGGGTTTGGGGGGTATGTTTTTGGGGGGGAAGGGGTGACGAGTGAAGTGTAAGGAAGGGAGAGATATGTTTTGGGAATAATATTTTAGGTGAAAGATAGATTGAACGGAGGTAATTAATTAATGAGGAGAATGTAATGATCACTTTTGTTTGCTTTTTCTACTCCTACTTTACATTAATAGTTTTTTGAAGTTAAAGAATGACTAGTATATCTAAATTATATTCGAAGATTCTATATGTATTCTTTTTGAATCGAATAAATTAGAATTGTAACGATTGTATTATGTAGAATACTAAGGTAAAAAGCTAAAAAAGCTCTTAAAACGGAAATAGTAATATATAGAATTATGAATCGAGTGAGCCTCTAAGCGATTTATTAATATAACAGGATTGTTATATTACCCTTTCTTTCTAAAAAGCTCGTTTTCGAGCATACAATAATAATATTCTAAATGTAGTTTTACAATTTAGTTATATTATAATCTATATTCTTTATTATTTTTAATACTTAGTTTATAGTTTTGATATTAATTTCAATATTCTTTATAATATGATTTATAATATTATTAATTGTTTTACAAAAGTACATATTTTATAATTTCATTACTTTTATAAAAGAGATTTCGAAATTAATAGAAAAAGGTTTTAAAAATTATTGAAAAATAAAATGAACAACAAAGAGAAGATTCGTTTGAAATATGTTTTTTATTGATAATACTGATAGAGTAATGAAAGTACTAACAAGGTGTAAATTAATTTAATAAATCAATTGAATAAGCTACTTTATTATGACATCAATTGTACAAATATATTAATATTTCGAATCAATCAAATCCTATACTTTGTATATTAAATTCAAAATCTTTAGATTTATTGTTAATAGAGCAGGATAATAGTTGGATATTAGTTCTTTTTAAATGATATGATAATGAAATATCAGCTCATTAATAAATAAAATCCGCGAGAACAAAACTAAAAAGAAGTTTTAATCGAAAGTTATATGAATGATTGTATTAGAGGAGTAAACACAAAAGGTAATAGACATTTAGTAAACAGACTAGTAATAAGAAACTTCGTAGGAGTGATTAAGAGCTTTTAAATTTTATATAACCTTAGTATAATATAACGATTACATCAATTAGAATACTAAGGTAAAAAGCGAAAAGAGCTCTTGAAAAGAAAGTGGTGTTACGGGAGCTGCCTCTAGGGTTACGTGGAAGTGTCTAGAAATCTTTTGAGGTAGTTTAGATTAGACTTCAAGTAAGAATTCAATAAGGTTGTAATTGATTGCAATTCTTGTAATTATAATAATAAAACTAATGATTGTTCTTGAGCACAAAGCTCTACATTGTAATGAAACTCATTCCCTATATAGACCTTCGTTCTGAAGTCGATCGATAAGTCGATCGGCTTTTGATTACATAACACTTGTCCCATAATTCCTATTGTCCTAGCTTATCCTTTTGTTCTAGAGTTTAATTCCCTAGAACATTACTAATCTTAGTAAAGTCTTCTTGTTTATTATGTTTTATCTTTCCTAAGATCTACTATCCTGGGAATTATATTCTAGATTTCTAGGATATTATATAACTAATACTATATATATGCCTGAGGATTTCCTTGGATGTCTAATATCCCTTGGTATACTGTAGCTGAATTATTGAGGCCTATGATACTATTATAGTCTATAAGTTGGTGATTTCTACAGCCTGTTACTAATCCGTTGTAACAAGTGGTAATATACAGGATTGTGGATTACGTGAGCCCCTAAGCGATCCACTAATATGACAGGATCGTCATAAGAATTTTAAAAGTCCTCAATGAAAATTAGACAATTCATGAAATAAGATATAAAAATATATAATAATTATACAAATGAAGATTTTTTTAATAATAATAAGCTTCATAGTAATAACTTATAGTCTATTATATGAGAAGAAATTAATTAAATGATTAAATTACATCGAATTATAAAATTTAAAATTGAAATTAGTCGTTGGGGAGAAAAATGTTACGGGAGCTGCCTCTAGGGTCATGTGGAAGTGTCTAGAGATCTCTCGAGATGGTTTAAACTAAACTTCAAATAGGAATTCAATAAGGTTGTAACTATTATAATTCTTGTAACTATAGTAATAAAACTAATGATTATTCTTAAGCACAAAGCTTTACATTATAATGAAACCTATTCCCTTATATAAACCTTCTTGCTTAGTATGATTAGTACAGCTTAGTACTGGTTTGTTTGTACTTTCATGGCTCAGTGTCTATCCCGCTGAGGAAGACTGAGCCAACCACGTGACTTAGTGCCCCAGTCCCGTGCCTATGTTGCGTCGTTCGTAACAAAAAAGCTTTCAGATAACGAATTTGTAGAAAAAAAAAATCTATTAATTATTATAATAATTTTGAAATACTAAAAATTCGTAGACTTTATGTTATTTTTCCCCGACGACTAGTACTCTTATAATCTCTGATTCTAATTCTAATTCTAATTAATAGATATAAGAAAGAGGAAATTGTAAGGATTATAAGGGAACAAATAGAAAAGTTATAAAGATTCTGTAATATAGTGGGATTTTATAATAGCAAATCTAGAGATTATTTTAAAGGGGGGGTAAGTTTTCTTGTCTTTTTTATTTATTTTATATAATTAATATTATGTAGATGTGTTATATAGTTTATATAGCTTAGTTATAGATAGACTGAATCGATTATGAATTTACTACTAATAATATAATAATATAATACTATAATAATATAATAATATAATAGTTATTAATATGTTTTTTGTTCAAAATAATCTTAATAAGTGATTTAGTATACTTATTATAAAATTTTATAATTTTAAATTAGTTTTTAGTACTTTTATATTATAATGTAACTTCTTTTAAGTTATAAAAAACCTCAATCTTATGAAATGAAAATACATATATTATAATTTATTATTATAAGACTTGATAAAACTTTAAAATATTATTAATATAATGATTATTAATTATTAAATAGTTTTAAACCTTTTGAAAATAAAAGTTTCAAAAGAAAAACTTTATTATAAATATTAAAATAAAGTTAATGTTCGATTGATTAGTATTTTAATGTTAATTTATATATATATAGATTTCTAGCTTTAGTAAAAGATATTTTAAAGATAAATTAATAAAAAGTCTTCAAATTTAGTTATACTCGTATTATTATAACATTAGTCTTTATCTTATATTAACGCCTATAGATAAACCTTTTTCAAAATCAAATGAAGTTTTAATTTTGAATTTTATAATGAACAAAATATTCAATTTAGTTTTAATGACTTTAAATCTATAGATAAAAAGTATAGAAAACGAGTTAATAACATTTCAGCTTTATTTAGTAATAAAATCGAATTAAAAAATCAATATAAAGCTCAATTCTATTTTATTCAACTAAAGCCCTCTTTAGTAAATGTATTTCTCAATAAATATTTCATAAATTAGTTCTCATTTCTCTAGTATATAGTGACTTATAAAAGATGTAAGTTTTAGTTTAAAAATACATTATAAATAAATTGATTATTTCTTAAAGTTTTCAAGGAATTATAATTCTTTATAAATAGATTATTTATATTTCATTCTTTCAAGCTTTATAGAGTTTTAGTTCAATTTTCATGTAAAAATATACAAAATATTTCTAGGACTTTATTTAATTCTAATTTTTTGATTTAAAACCTAAAAATCGAAAATATAATAAATCTACTAATGAAAGTATTACAGAATTGATTTCTGAAATTTAATAAATTCTAATCGATTATATCAAAACAGATGATCTACTGAGAAATCTCTCTTATTTTTTTATTTAAATTTATACGATTTTATACATGAAAATGAAACTTTATTATAATTAATTATAAGGTTTTCTAAATATATAGATATAAAAAGAACAAAAAATAGTCATTTTTGATACATGTTTTAACTCTTTACTTTGTCTAGTACTATATATCAAATGATATTCATTGAATAGATAAAAAATAAATATAGTTTTAAATTAGAGTCGTCGGTTAATTTTCCTTATAAACTCGATTTTAAATCAAGTACTATTTATATTAAATCTTTTATTATATATTTAAACTATCTAAGTTGAAGCTACTTAAAAGAATGTAGAAATTTGATTTTATAAATAATTTTGATAACAAACTCAAAATTAAACAAATTTACTATGTTTAGTAGTTCTTGTTTATATAAATAACATTATATTTACACCTACTATAAGAATCAGCATAAGGTAAAGACTAATACTATAATATGATATAGTTGAATTCAAGAGAATTTTCATTAATTCCTTAAAACCTTTCTCCTGAAGCTAAATATATATGAAAACTCTTCAAATGCCGGAATAATGGTCGGCCCGATGCCGAACCAATCGATGCGCGTAACACCTACTACCCCCCTCATCCCCCTCTCAACCCCTCAACGTGATTCGGTCCGCCCGTAAAAAGAAAGAGGAATCACGCAAGAATTATGACAGAAACTTTGAGAGATGAACACATATATGTCCCTACAAGTTAGAGGATATTAAGCTTGATCGAAGACGTAAGAAGCACTCAATTGTGTGATATAAGAGGCGATGAGTGACTAGCAAGCAACGGTATAGTGTTCAGCGTGTGGTAAAGTGATATGGGGACGATGCTGTTTGGGTCGAACTGTATGGAAATGGTTGCTTTATAGCCGGTGCTAGAAACAAGTATCTATCCGACAATTTTGAACGTCATTGGACCAAGATTCATACTACAATTGAGTTCTCTTTCAAAGAGAAAGGAACACTCATTAGCATAATTATAACTCATTTTCCGACTATAGTCCCTAATAATTCGATCCGAAACTTCCGCCACCAAACCTCCCTTCAAACTCGAATGCACAGTCAAAGAATCATCCCCAGCTTCCTCCTCCAGTATCCTTGTCAGAAATGAAATTGCGCCTCTAATGATCGCCTTCTGCGTGATACGCCAAGTCCTTTATACTCAAACTTCCGTGTTGGTGCGATGATTCTCACAAATGATAGCGAATTGATTGCTGGTGCTAATGTGGAGATTTCTGCATACGCTGCGGAAACTTGTGCGGAGAGAGGTGCATCCGGGAAGGCTGTTACACAGGAGAAACATTTCCTCCGGTGCTGCACATACTTGGGATCAAATCAAATTATTGGACAACTGAGATAGCACAATTGTTCTCAAGGCGGGCTCTACGTAAGCGACATGCGATGCGGAAATTGACCACCTTTTAGAAGGACTTCAACACTTCGGATATCTCCTAAAAATTCTACTCAATACATATGGTCCTGATGATTAATACAAAAAAGGCTCAAATTTTTCTACGATCTCCTCAGATATCAGCATTTAAGTTGAAATGAATTTCTAATTCAATTAAAGATGTCCTTTGAAAGAGCACTTCATCACCGCCTCTTATTTCGCTTACGTAGAAGTGGGGTCTTGGTTCTCGGTAGTAGTGTTCATGATGGCTGAGGACAGCGGGGTTCAAACACTTGGACTGGTCCCTGGTAGTGTAAGAAAACGCGTGTATTCAACCTCCAAATATCCAAGCAGCGGATTCAGTTGCAAAATATTTGGGATTGAGGAGAAGGCAGGTGGTCAAGATTATTAGAAAGTCGGACAATTTAGATGATCCAGACGACTCCGCCGATTAGGAAGAGGTGGAAGAGGTTGAAGATGATTACGACGACGAAATTGCTGATCTTTTACGAAAGGATTCACAGCATCACTAAGGTTTAATGATGTGGCTCTCGTATGATCCTAGTACTAGGTGTGCCTAAGCTGTAAGGCTTGTTACAAATACGGTGTACAATATTATGATGCATGGAGGAGAAAGCAACTTGAGCGGTTCGAACTCCGGATCCGCTAGACGATTCGGGGGTTGTTTCTGTGGAGTAGTGCCCTTTTTTGGCAAATTCTCGCTCTATAGCTGTTAAAATGTCTTTGACTAAAACACCTTCTTTGAGCTAACTACCTCTATGAAAGTCATCTTGATAAGAATTTAGAGGCAGTCCTTGCAGGAATATACACTGAGCAGGAGATTCCATAACACGTAAAAGTACAGCTGAATAGAGTAATTGACATCAATATCGATGCCCCCTATGTTAAAAGATCGTCTGATTGATACACGCGTATGACCTTTCGCTGAAAGATATTCAGGATAAGGATGGAGAAGAGTCTCGAGGGAAATTTGATTTACCTCGTACGATGCGGTAGTATCCCTGGTTTATTTAGTTTGCAGAAGATCAAGGAGAACTGTTGGAGACGGCATGATCTTGAATGAAATAGGAAGTAGTATTTGAGTGCTAGCTAGTATGCAGAATTCTCAGTAATAGAAAATTGTACTGATCTCAATCATATCTCGTTACCAAAGTACGTAACTTCACCATTGCGGCCAATTCCTATAAATCTCATGATTCCTCTGAAAGAAGCGTTCCGCGCCATCCTTCCACCTTCCACCTATGACTTTCTCCATCCCAATCACGCAACTAGACCACCTTGCTTTTATCATCTTATTGATGCCGAAATATAAGTTGAAATGTCGCGAAGTGGGTTTTCGATATTCGACTTGAATTTTATCAAAATTCAGAAATTGATTGTCCAATGAACCAACCATATGTAACCCTATCCATCAAATAAATTAGTACCGAAACTAAATTGTAGTGATAAATCAAAACCAATTACTTACTGGGGAGGCCAGGATGACAGCAATTAATACAAAAGCCCGTTGTTGATTGCCTTTCGAAAACAAGAAACTAGCAACAAACAGAACTATACCCAGACAAAACAATATACTTAGGCATACTGTTGGAAAGTGCGAAGTGACGCCCATGAAGATCATCGGGAAGCATGCTTGGAGGCCGCCGAAGACTGTCTGGAGGCATGCTTGGGGGCTGGTGAAGATGTGATTGACAGTATGGAGGACGGCGGAGGTACTCTGAGCAGCGTATTCGGTTTGTTGAAAATACTCCTTGAAGAAAGATGCTGCAATACTATGGGCACCCAGAATACAAATCGTAAGTGCTGTGATAAGCCAAAATGGCAAAGGTAATTTTGTAATGATTTCCGCAATTTTCTGGATATCAAAGTATTGGACAATATCTCGAAAGAAAGTCGATGCAGCGTTGATGAGCTCCATTACTTGTTGAACATCGAATTCCATGATGAAGTAAAGTATTGCAGGAAAGAGGAAAATTGAAGGGAATCGGAAATATGTAAGAAATTTATAGTGGGAGTCGCGGAAAAAGCTGTAGACGGTAGCTGTAGCAAATGCGGTAGCGAGCAGCATACCTGTCCACATAATAATTTTTGTCGATGTCATGGTGAATTATTCAGGAGAATTAAATTCTACCGTACTTGTGGCTATGGCGAGTTTGGTCGAATTTCCAAGAATTGGATAGGCAATTCAGAATAGAAAAGTTGAATGAATAATGTTGCAAGTTGTAAATTTGAATCGAGTTGTAGGTCGTTCGTGAAACTATATAGATACCTACTACAGTTCACTCTCGTTACCGAGAATTTAGCCGAGAAATTTGACAAGAACCAGGTGCATTGTTTTATGACTTGATTCCCAAAAGCCATACAACCACTTAGAACCACGGCCCAGCAGAGCCACCTCAATTGTGTCTTGGTATAAAGTCTCAACAAACAATTGATTAGGCCTAAGATATTGTCATTTAATTTGGTCACTTACTAGCCCATCGTCACTTTTAATGCTTAATTATCAGAATTGTTCAACATCTACAAACTACTAAACGTTTGAATTAAAGGCAATTTCCTGTTGAATTAGATATTTACTACTGCCACTCATCTGAGAGAGAATCAGAATTTCATACATAGTATCGGCGTCTACGGCTGGGCTCCGTAGGAAGCTAAAGCCTCGATTGAGCAAGAAGAAAGATAAGCATGGAAATTCGACGACAATATGAGCTATATAAAGAACACAATAGACTTGACTCTCATTATCGAGATATATATAGCGTGCTTGGACCTATTCACATTCACTTAGTCAATCATCCGAATCCAGTCTCTTTGTATTTTAAAGTGCGTTCGAATTGACTATTTTGATTATTCGAGATGCTAGACCTAATATTGCGTTTACCGAATGCGATATTGGGCTCAGTAGAACATTGAGGATATTTTAGCATTTCAATTCAATCCTTTACATCCCAATATTACTCCAAATATATTATCTTCACTCAAACATGTCCATTCGTTCGTTCCACAAACAAATCTTATACAAAAAATTCACACATCACGGTAGAAGCTTCTACAAGTGTTTCAAGTACTACATCAAGCTCTAGTGCTAGTACGAGAAGGTCTGTGTACCGATTCTTTATGTGTTGACAAAGCTGAAATGATTGATATGATTTTGTGCACGCTTTATTGGTTGACAATCATTGCCGTACTTGCTGCTGAAGGTCTTCAATGTAATTCATTGCACTTTGATCTGATATATTGAGCAAGATACTCAAGTGCTACTGTGATAAGAGTCTATCAGGATTCGGGTGTCGATAGTGGCTTACGTAAACTCTTCAATCTCGTATCCTTCCCCCTTCTGCTTCACATCAACTTTTTGTTTGTAATCCTTCAATATCTGAAATACAATTTCTCGTCCAAAAAGAAGTCTTCAACTACAGAAGAACTTGATTATACCGGACTGAAATTTTCGACTAATGAAATCTAATATAAAGAAGATTTCAATATAAAAATTAATAGCTTAAACTTTTTAATTAAAATTTATATTTAATTTCAGCTTTAAATTCTAATATTTTCGAGAAAATGTTATATAATAATAATCTTTTAAGTTTACTCATCCAAAATATAGTTTATTTAGCCAGATTGACCATCAAATTTTATATCGGAATTTAGTCAAGTTAATTCGATATACTGGTTTTCATTGAAATTCTAATATTTTTATATAAATTTAAAAAAAAATGAAAAAAAAGTCTAGTATATTTAAGTTTCCGGTATATTCTAGTCCGTTATAGTCAAGTTTTTCTGTATTCCAGTTGGCCGTGCGTGTCGTGGTACGAGTACGAGTGTTCGTTCTCAACCTGTGGCTTGAATCTTAGGGTTGAATCTCAAGCTGAGGACCGAGGTTGATTCAATTTAGGTTCAGATACGAGCACCGGTGCGGTACCATGCTAATTGATAATTGATCCATTATCTATATCATCATAACCCTTCCTTCTGCAACTTCATGAATCTCTAACTCCACGAACCTGCGAACCTGCGAACCCTCGACCTCACGATCTACGAATCTACAAATCCACGAACCCGCGAAATCATCTCGATATTCAATTCTCCATCCCATCACATCCACCGCGCACGCATAGTCCCAAGAACTCATCACTTCATAACTTGCTATAATGTCCAATAAGAAAATCAATAATCTATCTTTACACAGCAATGTCAGCTGCAATTTTCCTCTACAAAAGGAAAAGAAAGAAATACCCACTCCACCGGATTCTTCATCTCCATCTTCATTATTTGAGCAAGATACAAGGGAGATATTACTCGTTCTTCGACTTCCTCCGAGCAATTAGAACAAATAGATTGGGATACTGTAACGGATTTAAAAGGGCGCGACACAACGGAGGAGTATATTGGAATCAGAGAAATCAAGGAAGAGGAAGTTTTTGAGAACACACCTGAAGAGATCAGAGATTTTTTGAATCGATTTCGCCTTGACCAACTCGATGACGACAAAATCGGTCCTCAGAAGCAATTTCACACCACTCATGCATCCTACGACATTCTTGTTCAACTAAATCGGGTACCCTACTTTCTGGCCACCCCTGTTTTGAATCATCCTTTTATATCAAAAAGTACTTTTTCAGCTTATTAATAATTTTATCAAAATAAAATAAAATTTATCGAAAATTTATATACATATAATTCAAATTATTTTAAATCTATATTGAAAATTTTAGATTTTTGGAATTTTTCTGAATAAAGATTTGAAGTTTCAAAATATTGATTTTTTAATTTATATAAGAATTAAATATAAATTCAAAATCAGTTTTAAATTTTCAATAACCTTTTAATTATAATTAATAAAAAGAAATTAATTTTTTTTGGAAAGTTTCAAAGTTGAATTCATATAGAAGATAAAAAATTGAAAAAAATTAGTATTTATAAAAATATAATTTAAGTAGAGAAAAATAATCTCTATAATTTCAAAAGTATTTTTATAAATATTTATTAATTGGAATTTTTCTAATTTTTCTGAATTTTCTATATAATAAATAATAAAAATTTATAATAAAAAGTTATGAAAGATTTAAAACTGATTTTAAATTTATATAACGTAGTTTATCAGCATGTGGCCCATATTAGTATGTGGCTCATTTTCACTTCAATTTACATTTTCAAATCTATATTATTCAATGATAATTGAATCAATTAATTAAGATTATTAAGAATTTAATAATCTAGGATTTATTATATTATTTTGATAGGTTCTTATATTATGATCTATCTTTTTATATTTATTACAATATCAATTAAAAGATACTTTCTTATTAAAATTCCCTTTTTCTTGATACTCATTATATTAAATTTGAATATTAACCTTTTATTAAGATAATATATTAAGAGTTTATTATTTAATAAGTATTTATTCTTAATATAATTAGGTTTTTTTTACATATCGACACTTACTTAATGTTTTATTTGCCTTCCAAAGTGTATAAATTTTTATAATCAAAAGTATGTTTTTATAAACTAATCTTTTTATACTTTTAATTAGAGTTAATATATTCTCAAATATAAGTGTAAAGGAACTTAATTGATAACAAGTTATTTAAGATTTAATTAATATTGATTAAGAAAAAGTTTTTGTTGGGTTATAAAGGGTTTGAAAGATTTATTGATTTAGATTAAAAAAGGAGATAGGTATATAAATTCAAATATTTAATTTCGAGAATATAGTTTTAGAATTAAATAGGATTAAATCTGTTCTTTAAAATTCTGATTTTATATTCTAAAAGATGATTGATTTCTTATATACAATTTTAAAAGCTATAAAGAATCCAACCTTTGAAATATAATTGATATATGTTTTAATAAATTCATTAATTTGATTATTATATAAATGTTTTAGATTGTTAAAATAGTTAATATTAAATAATTAAATTAAATGATTTAAATATAATAATAAATATAAATATATAATATTATTTTCTTTATAGTATATTTGAAAAGTTATTGATTTGTAGTTTTTATATTTATTTAATATTAATATTCAATATTTATTCTTTTTTTGATTCTTAATATACTTATCGAAGTGTTTCAATTATTCTAAATTTATCTTATTATTTATTTATTTATTAGATGTAGATTTAATAATTTATTTTATAGAAAGATTTGTTTTGGTATATTAATTAGAGAAATGAATTTGTTCTTGAATTATTAGAAATGGGGGAATAGTTTCATCTTTTTTATTTCTGTATATTATTACTGTAGTTCATTCTTGATTATTTAGTTGTATTGATTTGTTTTTACTGTATTTTTCAGTATTAGTAATAATCCTTATTATAAAGTCTATTTCATTGAAATTATAGAAATCTTCATTCAAAATACTATATTTCGCATATATATTTGTAATTAATCGAAATTACTTTTCAATAAACTTAAAATCCTTATAAAAAACTTTTTGAAAATTATAAATATAATTAAAATATATTTTTAATTTAATTCGATATTGTATAAATCAATACACCTAAAGCTTTTCAATATTCTTTATACTTCTCAATTCGAGAATATGATTTACTATATCTTCTATATTCTTAAGTTTAAATAAAAAACCTTTCAAATTTATATCAAATATATATTCGATAATAATATTCTCTTTTAGTTCTGAAAAATTATAAAAATTATATCGATATTCTGTATAAAAAGTAAAACTATCAATTCTATATCATAATATCATACATAGAATATTATATATATTAGCAATCTTTCAAATACTTTGTCAACAATCATCTAGTCATCGGTTAATCTTTAAAAAAAAGAAATCATTCAACTACTGAAACGATCACGAATCAACTACATCTAAGGGCCTCACAGGAGGCTCCCCTATGCCGCTAGTGATGCGCGCCCCCGGCGCGCCGAGCGGCTCCCCAACCCAAGAGGTGATCCCCCCTCAATCAAGTACCATTACCCCAGGGGCAAGCATTGCCCCTCCACCAATTATAAGATCGCTCACAGGCTCTGCCCTTGGCGTAATTAAGGATCGATTCGAAAGGATCGATAAGACAGAACGGGAGAAGCGAGAGGTGATCGAGGCGTTCGCAGCACTAGCGGATAAGCTTGCAC